TGAGAGAACAGCAAACATTTCATCGTTACTGTGTGTTAGAGCATGGGAGAACAGTGGATACTTTTAATACAGCCCACACCCCTAATACTGTGTAACTATAACAAGTAGAGAACAGAAGAAAAAGATGTTCTTTCTTTACAACTGTCTGCATAGCTTATTCATATTGTGTAATGAATGAAAATAAATAGGCCTACTAGGCTCCTCTCTACTTTGACATTTAAGATTAGCTTGTTTGATCCACCTTCATACACATGTGACATTACTGTACAACTTGAGAAAGGTGAGTTGTTTTCTGCTCCAGCCTGCCTAAAAGAAAAGCGTTTTTGGGATTAAATGGACTTTATTAGCTGCTGCAGTGCAGGATGAACTCAGAATAGACCCATTTCTCACCTTATCATTCTAAATCATGCAACGAAGAAGAAGAAATGCATAATAAATCCTGGGACAAAATCTGTCCACAAATACTGTACAGCATGTAGTCTAATGAACAAGACTTGTGTTATAGCTGACTTGGGCAGTGAAATGTTAAATGTTTTTCAATTCATGTGGTCATAGTTGTCCACAACTCAAATCAGAATTTGAGAAGAAATGTTTTATACCACCTCAAGAAGGCTTCCTATCAGAAAGGTAGGAAGGTATTTCAAATGTACAACTGCAGTCCTGAAATCTAAGTAAAGTAATTTCCCTGACATTTTTGTGTTACTTTACTTTTAATAGACGCATGTAACCGGTTTTATACTTCCTGTGAGTATAATCCAATCAATCTTATTTTCATACTGTATATCCGTTGTGTAATTTGATAAATTGTGTTGTATGTGGTGCTCGCATCGTGTACTACTGAGACTTCATTGCCCTCTTCAGAGAAGACTCCGACTGCACATGCGTCTTTCTAAAGAGAGAAACGGACAGAAAAAGTCTCTAACTCTGCCTGTCAGCTCGCTCTGCTCCGTTAAAACTGAATTTACCATACAGAATTGAATACGAGTGCACTCCAGATTTAGCTGCAGCCAGCTGACCGTGTGCTTCTCCTATACCGCAGTTCTGTGTCCATGCATGCAGCAAACACTGTCTGTCAGAGCGTCCACATGAAAAGAGAAGGAAGACATGCTGGTAGTATTGTCTTCAAACAGAGCTGCTAAACACCTCAGCGCACTGAATGAAGCCATCTGACTGTGTGAGGAGCAGCTCGTTGATGTCTGCAGGCAGAGAAGGCCTAGTGCTCTCCTGTCTGACTGGTCCACCAATAGGAGAGAAGTTCACCCCTTGAGACACAGCCCCTCCTCATTTGCATAATGAGGCAGAAATGCATACAGAAATGTAAAAAGGACAGGCAGAAATAAATACCATGGGTGAAAATAAATAGGGTAAAAAATGCAATGCAAGAATAAAACAGACAAAAATATTAAAACACACACATAAATGAATACATTTAAAAAATAAGTAATTAATAAATTAAGTTAAGATTATAACGGACAATAAATAAATAAGGTAATTAAAATAGATATATACATTTATGTCTCCTTGTATAATTTAATTACTACCTACATTTATTTATTTACTTTTTTTTTGTGTATTTAATCGGATGCTTATTTATTTATTGAGCATTTATTTATTTCTGAATGTGTCAGGATCGGTCCTCCATAGCCTTCGGTACTGCAGCTTCATACTATTGCCTGTGAGGTGGATGGATTATCTCGCCAAAGGAGAAGGGCTCACTAACAAAGATTTGTATATAATAATAATATTTAAGAGAAATAGCCTTTTGTGTACATAGACAAAGTCTTACATCTTTGAATTCAGCTCATGATGAATGGGGGCAAAAACAAAAGTGTTGCATTTATTATTTTGTTAAGTAGCCTATATTAAGTAGCATAAATACTCAAGTAAGATACAAGTACCTCGAATTTGTTCTTAAATACCCTACAGTACTTGAATGTACTTATATTTACCGAGACACAAGTCAAATGGTGGTCAAATGCTTAGTCAAAAGTCTGGTTTATCTCCATTCTACAGAGGCAAAAATATTGAAAAACAAACCCACATTGAACATTTAGCTTAGCTATGAGCGTTACCCGCCCCGCACTGATGCTAGCTCAGAGCTAATGTGAGGGAGTCCGTGTGCAGGTGGCACGCGCTGCAGAAGTTATTAGTGGTTAATTCCATCAGAACTGTGTTAACTCATGTGTCAGCAAGCAAGTTATTAGTTACTTAATTGCAGTATTGGGCAGTCGCGCCGCCACTAGTTTAACTACATTTCTCAGTAGTTCGGTGGTAGCGTCGCTATTTTCTAAATCAAATAGCTTTTCAGTAACGAAGCTCTTTTATTGACCGAGTAGCGTGGTAGCTTCCACACACGCTACATTTTCCCAAGCATTTCTGAAGGATCCGTACGTGACGCCATCGCCACACACTGGACGGCAGAATCGCTTCCGCTTGACGGTGACATCACCTACCGATCCTTGGGCTGATGTCTGCGACTTTGCTGCAGGGGAATGAAGACACGCACGATTGAGTTCACTTTCTATTGTCATAGTTATTGTCCCACCTCTTGTGCGAAGGATCAGGGTCCAGCCTGGACAGCTCTTACTCTAGTGAGGAGGAAACTTTGATATGTAGTGGCAGAAACTGTTTACATGAGATGAGATCTCTCTCTCTCTCTCTCTTCTCGCCCATTGCCATGAATGATTAGGTTGCAATGTTGCCAGAGCACAAATTCACATATAAACAAAAACATAAATATATAATTAATAATAATGTGATAATTAAGTTACTTTATACAAACAACAGTGGTTCTCTGTTTATTGCATGAGGAAATACATTTAATGCAATGATATGGCACTAAGTAGGAGAGTTTCTGTATGTCTGATTTAGCTCTCTCTCTCTCTCTCTCGCGCACACACACACACACACACACACACACACACACACACACACACACACACACACTGTTTGGAGCAGGTGTTTAGTATTTCTTCTATTGCTACTGTGGAATGAAGTTAGTTCAATATAAACTAGTCCTATAGCTTACTGTGTGTGTGAGTGCATTTATATATATACCTAACTATAAAATATTAAAAATTTAAAGATTTTTTTTTTTTTGTAGCTACTTTTGCCACATTGCTGTAGCTTAGCTTGCTACATTTCACTGGGGGGTAGCTTCTGTGTAGTGAAGCTTCATTTAATGGAGAGTAGCTAGTAGCTTAGCTCACTACATTTTCCAAGTAGCTTACCCAACACTGCTTAATTGAACTAAAGTTACACCTTTCAGAGACTATTGAGCTTCATTTGTATCTCACTTCTCTTGCCAAATGCTGAATCTAAGCATTACTTTGATTTAGCACTACCTTTAGCTTGCTAACATTGGGTCACATATTTTGTTGCTTTCTAATGCATTAACTTATAACGTCTACTAATGAAATAAAAATCTGGCAGGTATCCAATGACTGTGAATAATTATGGGTATTAATATAATGTTAAATGTCAAAACATTTTGTGTTTTTGGTTCTGGAACACCTGCTTCACAGGTCATGATGGTTGTGTCTTGCTTGCTAAATCAGTTTTATTCTCAGAAAAAAAACAAGTCAACATGAACCAATTTTGACCATGAATGTGTGTCTCTTTTTACACGTTTCTCATGTATTTAGCTACTCTTCTATGCCCTTAATCTGTAATGGGCACAGACTATGCAGATGACATCAATTAACTTTCACCTTTTTACCTTTCACCTTTCCTTGCTAGCAGGTAACTGCCAAAACATTGTCATTGTTTCATATTATCAACATAATGTGTATTTGAATGTGTGCACAACTTGACTGGTACTTGTGTATTTTAATGCACAGAGAGTGGAAAGAACTGGGAGGATCAACAGGGGTCCACTCCACCATGGCTCATTTTTTCCTAGGGCCCCTAGTTGACCATATTCACCTCCTAACTTCTCCAAAGTTATTTCCTACCGTTGTGACAAGTAGAGGAGAGCAAACAAGCAGGAAAAAATACAGTATTAACATAAATATAATGATAAATAGTAGTAAAGAAATGGATTTATAAATTTAACTTTGTATGTGAGAAAAAGTCAATACATAAAAGTAAAAGTAACTCAACAGAATCCGTGTAACTGTGTGTACTAGGCTTACTGGCTACTAAAATGATATGCGGCAGTCAACATGTTATGTCCACACTACAGGATATGGTCTCTAAATCCATCAGATCACTGCTTGTTATTCAATAGTTGCTGTTAAAAGACCCAGAATAATCAACCAGATGGTAAGACAAAAATGAACAAAAAATGTAGTTGTCAGAGTTAATATTAGTCTTTTTTTTTAACAGTCTATGGTCCAAACTCAAATTGAACTAGCAAAATGAATGATATAGCCTATATAGGTAGGACATGCTTCTTTAATGAAAACAAAACAGCATGACGAACATTAACATGGATAACATGGATCCACCGCTTAAACCCCACGTGCTCTCTGTCTTTATCATGTTGAATGGTCTACATGCATTCATATTTCCAACAGCACGCAAAGGCAGCATCAGATCCAGTTATTCGAGTCGCGCATTTCCGCATTTTACAGCAAAGACCTCCGATTGTATTGAAAGAAAAGGCAAACACATACTGCCACACCTCTTCCACTACATTTAGAAACTTTCACTCGACGGGTTGTGCAATCGGCCTTGTATTTGCATCTTAATAACCCCGAGTGTGTTGTTACTGACGGTGTCAACTCTGACCCAGTTTGAATTTTTTCTTTTACGTCAAGGCCATGAGATGGCGCTACAGAATAGCATTTTACACATAAAACGATCGCTGTACTTCTCTAAACACTGGGTGTATCATAAGAAAGAACGATTCAACTCGTGATTATGAACATTTAGAAGACTTTCTTTATCCTATTTTATAATACAGCCGGTTTGTACTACTTTAAATCCAGTATTACAGAGATATCCAAGTGATCGTTTTGATCAGTAGTTTGTTTTTGTTCGTACACATAGTTGAATCAGTCAGACAGATAATATTAATTCAACGAATCATGCTGTTGAAATAATGTAAGCAGCTCTAACAAAAGAACAGCAAATGCTGTTTTTTTGAGGAGGAATGTGTTGAAAAATATAGGCTATACCACGAGCAATTTTCTCATCTCTATGATTTAAAACGAGATGGAAACTAATTTAATAAATATAAGAATGAAATGATAACAGCTGCATTTTGACTCAGTGAACAGGCTACATTGGCTAATAAAATCGCTATAGCCTATGAAAGTCCAAAACGAACTATTTATAGCATAGGCTAGCCTACTTGCTTGTTTTTTTCCTTTAATAGATGAGGCATAAAACATTTAATTGGAGCGATATTTTATTAAATAGCACTGTGCTTGAAACAAAGCAGAGCAATGGCTGATATGGTTTTATCAGTGCGATAACGTAGGCTACTGTACCAAAACTTGGAGACCACGGTTGTTGAATGACCTGTTATAACATTTTTTACATTGAGCTTTGAAAGGCTGCAGGCTACACGCCAACATGCTATCATAGCATACGCGCACGCAGCAGCTCGCAAACTTCACATTCAAGCACAGAGCTACAAACACAGCCGTCTTGATCCAGATCTTATCCTCCCACACAAACACGGACACAGTCTTCATTGGTGCTCCTGGCTCCTGCAGAGCAGTGGCGCTATCGGGTGTCAATCAGAGAGAGAGAGAGAGAGAGAGAGAGAGAGAGAGAGAGAGTGGGAGGGAGAGAAGCTTGGGATGCTGATCAGTGATCCTCGCTGAGAGGATGCTATCGATCAGGCTTGCAGATGTTTTCCCCACTACTTTGCTAAACATGCTGACTTTTTCTGCTCCTCATTGGGTAATTGGATAAGGTAGGTGTTACCAAATCGCTGAAGTTTAATCGTTTTGTCCAATGTCTTGATTCTTCCTGTTCAGATGGATGCCTGGTTGCACTGGGGAAACGTTTGTCTTGGTGTTCGTACATTTTTCAGTGATTTTGGTTATTTTTCTTTTCATGTGCGCAGGTAATATAAGCAGCGGCTGCTGCACACTGCATGGGAAAGCCGAGTCATCAATGCAGAACCCCTCAGCGCTGTTCGGGATGGTCAGCCACTGTCAGACCCCGACGTTCACAGACTTCTCCGGCTTGTCCCTCGCCGTGTACGGCGGCAAGGCGGACTTCTGCACGCGGCGAGCCGGGACCGGTGGTTTTGGATCTCAGATATGCCGGAACTCCCTTGACGCCTCGACTCACATGAACTGCGCCAGCCCGAAGAGACTCAGCGCGTCCGAGGAAAAAGCGCATCTGTCAGCCAAAGCCCCGCGCTCGTGCCTCTCTCTCCCACCCGTGCAAGGTAGGTCGAAACGTGAGCACGAGCCCCGCTGTCTTCAATTGAGGCGATTGGATGTTACAAAGTCGATTGTGTGTGATTTCTGAACATGATGGATGGAGTAACATCTAATGTGATTATTGGTCTCATTAAAACAAACGGATAACGGGATAACAATAACACATTCAGTCAAACAGCAGCTGTCAGTCAGACAATTTGACCAATTAGCAATTCAGGGTTATTTGGGATTGATTAAATCTGTCAAGTAAAATAATGCTTCTTCCATATGGCCCTGTTTGCAGTTGTGGATTATGTCTGCTAATTAAACCCAGAGCTCTCTTGGATCTTTGGTCAATTCATAAATAACCCTAGAATCAAAGTCTCTGTTGCATGAAGGCCATGCAAAGTGATGTACAGTATGCGGAATAACTGCCGTGCACATTTCCTGTGGATGTTAACAAGGCATGGCGTTTAGTTCATGGGAGGATTAGTGTGATGTTGGCCGACTTAGTTAAATATGGAAAACTTGGCAACTTGAAGTTTTGACAGTTTAAAATAACATTTTAAAGAACAATTAATAATAATTAATTTATATAGTTTTTCTGCTTTTTATCCCAAGTTTAGAAGAATATCATTTTACAAATAATTAAGTATGCTGATATTGCTCTAAATTCACATTTAAATCTCCTGTGGTGCCTTACAAAAAAAAAGTGAATAAATTGGGCTCATCAGTGATAGGGAGAACTTTAAAAACAATTACACAGATGATATGAGCACTGTCATACAGATAGCATCCAGAGTGGAAACTGGGCCTTGAGTCTGCGTGGAAAGCCTGCTCCATCCTGTTTAGACAGAGTGTTGTTGTGAGAGGGCGGAGGTAATTACAGCCCCATCCTAAATTATGATTAGACGGAACAGACTTTTATATTAGCAATCATCCTTGCAGCAAGAAGAGGATCAACGGATTTGATTATTGTTTCTTCTTGCTAAACACAAACCATATGTCTGCCGAATGTGTCTCAGCATTTATGAGTTCTCTTGGAGCGCAGTTGTGCCCTCAGCCCTCCATCCCCAGCATCCCAGCAGCAGAATGAATCGTCTCATTGTCTCTGCGACGCTTTTGAACTCGCTTCCCGTAAATTGTGGGAATGCAAGATGTGGATTATGTTGTTCAGATTAACATTGAAGGAGACACATACATATCTGTTTGTTTGGTTTCTGACACTGCAAGGCAGTCCAGTGATATTTTAATAATTTCAATGTCTTGTGGGTTTATGAATTGAAAATAGTTTTCAGCTTCCTTTTGGAGTGCAAAAAAACATAATCTCTGCATTCATGATTTGGCAGTAATTCATGTTTACAATATATTTTACTGTAATATTTCAGTAATAAAACATCTTATTCAGGTGAACTTGTACTTAGAATGTTGTTATATCTTCACTCTAAAAGCATATGCACTGTATTCCAGGCATTTTTGTGTTTTCATGGTCTCTTATGTTGAGCACAGAGTATAAAAGTGATCTCAGTACTCATCAGTCTTTTGTATCATGCCTCATTTCAGACTGATCGTATTACAGACTCCCATTTGGGGACAGAGCTGGAGTTTAAGCTGCATTCTCAACCATTACTTTAGATTTATACTGAAGGAATCACTGAACAAACGCAGATGTAATATTTATCCTGATGGAAGGGAGACAGTAGAGGAAGAACTTACCTCAGACGGGAGATTTCTGACCTTTAACGTGTACCCTGTGATTGCAAAATGTGAACGCTTACTCATTGAAAGATGTGATAAAATATAGTGCACTAGGGATGTTTCATCTAATCCTCCGTGTAGGATTTCTTTAGGAGGGAAACTGTAGTGTACCAGGATGTACTCTGAGACTCTGCAGATTTCCTAAATACTTATGAAAATGCAAATCTACACCTTCTATTTCTATTTTATTATGTCAGAGTGTTAGCATCCTTGTGTGTTTACGAGTGTATACACGAATAAGTGAGGGAGAGAGAAAAAATATTAACATTGAGTGAGAGAACTATTGAAGGAGTGAGTTACAGAGCTGAGGTGCCATTGTGTCAGTAGACCCTCAGTACAGACTTGGATTACATTTTTATGGGCCAGGTAGCCTGAATGAAAACAGAACTCAACATTTGGTCAAAACCCTTCTGTGCAACCTCACTGCTGCTGTGCCATTGCATTTTAAGAAATGTTCCCACCATAAATCCAGGAATATTATTCTTTATTTTTCTTTACATCAAGTTGATTGAAGCACAAATCACAGCGACCCATATCACACCCGGTGCGTCGGTTTGGAAACCATGTGTATTGCTCTTCGCGAGTGGAACAGCGGCTGATCGTCCTTACACTGCGGTTCCACTGTGCTATGAATATTGGTGCCCACCAGCAAAGAAAATATTTAGCTTGCAAAGGAAAACACTTGACCCCTCTTGAAAAAGAATATCAGGTTTGAATGAAGTGTGTACTCTAGCATCATTCGATACCTTCCTAAAGTTTCTCCTGGCCCAGGACGAAGCTGCAGAGTCTGCGAGCCTATTTGGGGAAAATGTTTGAGTTAGAGGAGTGTGCTAGAGTCTCATACTCCTTCTCTTAGATAAATGCAGAGGTCTGTCTGTTGATTCAGCCTGTGAAGAGATAAGTAATGGGCTTTTGGATTTAATAATTGTCAGGAACCTTTGCATTTCTGTGGCTATTGCTTGTTGTCTTTTACCAACACACATCACCGTGACATATTTTCTAGAAACCGGTAACGCATTTATACATGCAGCATGCACACCTGCAAGCAAGCACACAAACCCACCAGCATCAATTGCTAATACATACAGACACTGTGACAGCATATGCTGAACACATACACTATGCACATACGCCACGCATTGACACACTCACACACAGTACACAGGTATATAAACACACACTTTTTTATGAGTGGCATTGGCACATATGTAGAATTTCCTCAAAATGACTTAGTTTCCTGTGTTTTCCCCAGCAGCATTTGTAGACGTCAGGCTGCAGGGCGATAATCTGACTGTTATGAGAAACAACCAGCCATTACAGCCTCTCTTTGAGCCTCTCCTGAGGCACTTAATGACAGCTTCCCAGTAGCTTGTGAATAGTTTTGGTTGTGTGTGCACAGAGAATCACATTAAGTGCTTTTGCTGAAGTTACTTATTCTAATCAAAGTATGTGATTTATTTATTATTATTCTCTATAGAAAGAGGAGTGAGCAGATGGCCTTCATTTTATTTGACAGTAGAAATGCTGCATCGGATGGATTTCATCTTTAAAAGCCCCAAAATATTTTCTCATCTTATAAATTACGTTATAGAAGAGTCACTGAGAATGCAAATGGAACTGGTGTTCACATTTAAAGTGTGTTCAGTGCGTAGTTGTCTAAGGCTTTCATCTGAGTAAATACTCATATTTGTGTCACATAAAATGTTTATACAGCTATAATTCTAGAAAAATCTTTGCTTCGGCTGTTTAAAGGCGTTCTGAATTTCTTAAATTACCATGGACTGCTTGATTGGCTTGGTTTGGCTTTGATTTATACACAGATCATATTATTTGTTCATCTTGGATCTCAGTTATTTTGTGTTGGTTTTGACTTGTGAGCCAGTTGTAATGTGTGACACTGTTTGACCCAGTTTGCTGAATCGGGGGTGTGACAGTAGTCCATGTCAATGTTTCAAGAGTTTGAAAAGACAAAAGAGATGGTACTTAGAGCCCAGATCTTTAAAAAATGTACCCCAAATAGATGTAATGATCACCAGGGAGAAACAGGTGACGCACTGCAAATATTTAGGTGTGAATTTTACAGTTTAAATTAGGGGCAACGTGGTAAATTTGTATGATCTTAAATCTTATGCCAAATATGCAAAAGGTTATAGCGGCTATTCCTCCCAGAAGTTGTGAAAGACTGGTGAACCCTCAGAGGAAACATTTTGCTGTCGCTGCTGCTTGAAGAGATTTGATCTTTTGGACTTGTGGTTCACTTAGTAAAAAATTATATAGTACTTTTCTGGCATTACTTCATCAGTTAGTGATATTTTACATAGAATGTGTCAACAGGACTAACTAATGGACAGCCAGACATCCTTCTCTCTCTGCATGTGTGCCTCTAATTCATGTGGAACTATACATGCGGGCCTGTGTATATCGGAGTAGTACAGTAATAGTAGCATTCTTCTCACAAGTTTTCTCACCAGTCAGTACATTCCCATAAGCCAAAGAGAGCGCCTCAGCCCACGTCTTTGCGTCTTGAATGAGCTCAGCAGTGAGTTATGGGCAAATGCGAGGGTGCTGCCTGGGAAGGGTGTTGCAGGGTGTAATGTTTGCAGCATGTTCCATTGATTCATAAAGACGAGGCCCGGTGATGATTCTGCAACGGTATTCCCGTAAACCTCTGTCTGGCTGAGAAGCTGACGAGGGAATGCTGGGTAATGGAATGAGAGGCTTCCTGAGTCACAGCCACTAGAGAAGGAGAGTGAGGGAGAACACCCCTGGTCTGGCATCTGCTTGGCTGAATCACATCAATCTCACTTGGCCAGGAGTGCACATGACGTGTGTGTGGAAACGGGAGATAAGTGGCAGAGGAAGAGATGAGTGTTGCATCAACTTGACTGAGGTTGGATTCAAAGACAGACAAGGAGACTTATGGGAGGTTGTGAGTGTTTCTGCCTGAGTAACTTCTGATTAGTCCACTGAAGTTACAAAATTAACATGTGCATGTATGAACCCCTTAAACAAACAGACACAAAACCAGCACTGCTGCCTCCCCACTGTCCTTTTCCTTCTCTGTACTCAGTGTCAGTCAGGTCAAATGTTCTCATTCTTATGTGACCAGTGTGGTATGACTATGGCATCTCACTTTAACCAAAGGCATTCTAGCTTTCATTCTGCCAATGAATCCAAACAGTCACACAGCAAAAATATGATCTTGGTTTGAGTAAGTGTTGAAATATCACTGGAATACCAGAAGAAATGTCCTCTGGGCCTCAGTTTAATCAAGAAAAAGCTGCAGAGTTGGCTCAGATGTGTCGTCATAAAAATGTATTTTTAGCCTAAAACTTCAAAAGTACTCTTGAAAACACTTTTCGCTGATGAGGGGAATAAGCTGCCAGATTTGTTTGAGCTTTTAACTATTTGTTGAAAAAGATTAAGACTTCTGGCTGATTCTTTTTGCCTGGACAGACATGCCACAGCTGACCACACGTCTATAGAGTCTGCATTACTCACGCATTTTCAGACAGCAGCGACTCCTCTCGCAGACCTCTCTGTGTATGACTTAGCACACGGGTGGGTTTTTGATTTACATCTCGGCTGTGCCACTTGCTGTTCTTGGCTCGACGCTGCTGTGTTTCATCAAAGAAAAATCCGCTCCACTCTGACTGTGGCAGTTAAGACGGCCGTCTGCCGCTGCGCTGCGTCTGCCAGAGCGGGGCCGAGAGCTGACTGGGCCCTCGCAGCTGTCAGCTGGAGAGAAAGAGAGAGAGAGAGAGAGAGAGAGAGATGGCAGGAGAGAGATGTGGCCATTAGTATCAGGTCTTCACTGACCTCCCCAAACAATCTGCGAGAGCACAGATTGAGTGTGAAAGGGTAGTTTTTGACATCTGAGTCATCTGAGGCTCCCATTTCATCTTTTCCACTAGTGGGTATGCTACTTACTGTATCAGCAGTTTAACTGTGAGTAACATTCACAGTACTAGTTGCTAAGTGTGCATCAGAGCTTTGTAAACAGATCAGCGTTTAAAACTGCTATAGCAACAGTTTCAAATGCACGAGTGCTCAGGCTCAGCTTGTTTAAATGGTGTCTGGAATGGCCCTTTTTACAAGGCTGGGCATGTTGGAGATTAATCAGCCAGCCAATCAAACATTGGCTTCAACTGAGTGGTCAAAAACAAATGGGCAAACATGATGCAAACTGAGGCTGTTTTAATGCCTTCATTAGAGCGGAGGAGAAAGCAGCCAAAAAGCTTGAGTTTTATCCTCTCTCTTGTTCTCTCCCCGTCTCTGCCAGGAAGCTGCCATGGGGCAGTGCCCAGTCAGCTCACTGCACCATTGGCTGGCTCTGCCCCAGAGGACTATGAAAGACATTATAAAGTCTAATAGTGCAGTTTATATACTTTATTAGTGCTTGTTAATAGAAGTCCAACATTCTGGAAGAATTACTTATTCTCTAGTCATGTGCAACGCACTCCAGCCCCTGCGCTGTATTAACTTTATCATCAGGACTAATAAGTGCACAAAGGAACGACAAAATAAAAGTTGCTTCGAGATTAAGTACTTGTTTGTCTGCAAATGATGTGGGTTGACAACTTGCACTTCTGTACACTGCTGATATGGACTCAGATATTCATATGTGCTTTATGTCTTGTCAGATAAAGATCTGTACACATTATTGTCCTACATAAAGAGCCAAGTTACATCACACAGCGTCGATATCTCTTGACTTATTCTTTCAAAGCACTGGCAAGCAAGTCTTTGAGTCAACATTTATGGTAGCTTATGTATTGCCTGAAGCCTCTATCAGCGCAGAGAGTGATATCATCTTGTCCATCCAGTGTCAGCAGCTCAGGCAGCAATGCAGCACAGGTGGACTGGTGTCAAAATGTTTCTTTTTTGGTCTCAAATCTGGACAGCCCAGTGCTACACGACGAGAGGAAGTGGAGGATTTTGGGAAAGTGAGTCCAGTGCCATGTTCAGGTTAATGCTTGGAAGTCCAAGTTGCAGGGAGCCTCACCAGGCCTACTCTGGATGTTAATAAAGTTTAGAGGCTCTGTGCCAGCACTGTGATCTGTAATGCCTAGGGTTATTTTACAGACTTTTTACAGGCAATTATATGTGAAAGGGAAGGCTGTTTTTCAGTGGGCAAATATCAGAGCAAGAGATAAAGTGTGTGATAAGAAGATGCAATTTTATATGATGTTATGCCGTGGAGTGTGGATTGAGGTTAAATCATTGTGTGGGAATATCTTCTGTGTGAAAACTCCCCATGCAGTGCTGACACAGCAAACAAGACACAAGTACTTTTAACTTGTATTGTTTTACTGAAGGTTTATCAAAGTAGTTGTCCAGCTATAACCACAGGCAGCTTTGACAACAGGGGAGAGTGAGCATTGTTGGTTCATATTCTCTGCTAATCCAGGGATTATCCATTCTGTCACATGTCAGTGTCTTCACTTAATCATCTTTGACAGAACAGGGAGTTGAAAGACTCTAAGATGACATTGGGTTGTAAGTTGCTGTACTGATGTTGCTGCCTACCAGAGATGTCGGCTCGATTTCACCCTCTGGAACTGAAAACCACATCTCACAGATGAGCTAGTTGCTCTGTCCAGACTTTTCCGCTGGAAACAGTAGATACATCTGTTATCTTCTGGCTCCTGCAGTATCTGTCTGATTTAGATTCTCTACATCTAATTGCTTTTGAATGAAAGCTGTGTAGTTTTCATTTGGCAGTGTTTTCCTGTAATCCTAAATGAGGAAACAATTCTGCTGTAAGCTGTTTTGTTGAAGACAATCAGTTCTTGATTAACTGTTGCCAGGATTAAATGTAGGACCCAGTTTCTTCCTTCAAACTAAACCTCATATGAGCTGTGCGATACGTGTGTTAAATGGATCCATATTACAATGAGTAATAGCCTCAGTATGCACTCTTCATTAACATGCTTAACATTCCCCCCAAGACCCAGAAGTCGACTTCTATAATACACTGCTTAACACAAACATCATGTTGAACACTTACGATCTCTTATGGGGCTCGTTGTTGGTAGTTTTAGTAGTGAGCAGATTTGGACGGTAAGTGTATGTGTGTGTGTGTGTGTGTCTGTGCGGTAATGTGTGGGTCAAAGTGGAGGACAAGATGAACATGTTCATGAACTCTGAACATGAAAGCCTTGAAAAGTTAATATAAGATACACACACTTTGCCAGCTAATTAGAGCAGAGATCCAAAAGGAAGGTCCAGTGAAGAGGTTAATAAAATGTTATTGTTTTTAGCTTCTTTTTTTTTTGGCTTGAGAATGACATCTGTTGCAACACTGGTCAGCCACTTGTTGCATGTTTCCAAAGCTGGACACGCAGTTTTGTCTTTTGAAAGTAACAAATCTCAATACTTGGCAAAGTAAATGCTGAGCCACTGATATTTGTCAAGGACTGAATAAATCACCAGGGGGACATCTAATGCTTTGGGACAGTTGAAGACTGTACTTAATATCTGTGTGTGTGTGTGTGTGTGTGTGTGTGTGTGTGTGTGTGCGCGCGTCACTGCATTTGCGCACATTGTATGTGATTTGGCATTTGTGTGTTTGTGGGTGTATACGTGTAGATGTCTGTTTTTATCAATATTTGAAATGTTTGCTTTGGCTCGCTACCTGCTGGACTTTCCAGACCTTCATTTCTCTCATATTTAATAAAGATGGCGGTGGTGGGAAGGCTATGTTGGAAAATAGAAGTTAAAAGATTTGAGCCTAATGGAAACCAGCGCGTAGCTGTCCTAGCTGGCTTGACATTTACAGACGTTTCCCCCAGCTCAGCGTTCAACCTTTACGACAAAGCCAAAACCCATCAAGGGGAGCTTCACTCACCTTAAAACTGATACGCTGAGATTCTTGGATCCTCACACGGCTTCAGTAACCATTAAACCTTCCCGTAGCAGGAAATGTCTCTTATATATCACCAGGAGTTTTTGACAAGAATATTTAAGATGAGTACCTGGCTTTCTCCCCAGTGTGTCCTCACTGAAGCTGCAGTCACAGATGTAGTGGACGGATAGAGAGACCATATAAAGGAGAGGAGAGCAAGACTTCTCTCGTCTCTCCTTTCTGTTTATCTAACTTTTGCCCTTAAAAAGTCAGCTCACAGCACATGTTGACTAACACCGGTAAAAAGCCTAATCAGGTACTTTCAACTCGTATCGACAGTGATCTAATAGGCATGTGTTTGAAAGTTGAAATGAATTAGGCGGCGTCAGAGCCGTGACAGCCAGGTGCTGAGCACTTGGCCCAGCGTACCAGAGCCTCAGCCAATTGGAAAATGCTTTGCAGAATTTATCTGCACCCTTCTCCCTTGACAAATTATTTTATTGTTCCTACACAGTTGTTTTTCATTTAGCATTCTGGCTAATGATAGGCTGAGAGCATGTGGACCATTGTTATTCCTTTATTCAGCATAGATACTCTCTACTGGAAGCATTCACATCTGACAGTACACTCCCATGCAATAGAAACCAACCAAAACATGACACACAGGAGTGTGAATGTACGCAGATGGTACACAGAGTAGGAAGCTTTAACATATAACATAAGAAGGGCAATCTTGATATTTGTGTTACTTTGTTTATGCTGTAAGTGGCTCTTTGGCATGACCTCGGTGACTGTCAAACGGGGGAATGCTGCTTCTTGAAGGGGCAACTTCTGTAGGGTCCCCCTCTGCGAACTCCAAAACCTTTAATCACGTTATTCAGTGTGTCTCATGTACCCGGCCTAGTAGATATGCTGTGTGAGAGCTGCAGATGGGAGAGATAGGGTAAAACTCGCCTCGCGTCCGAGCCCTGCACTCTGCCTGACCTGAGCTCAGTACATCAGGACTAGGCCTCTAATCTTTAACAAATGCTGGGAGTCTCCATGACCGGGCCCTCTCTGAGATGGCTTAGTCAAAACAGGCCTGCTGCTCCTGAACACAGCCTCAGCCTCTAGCTTAATTCAGACATTGATTAACTAACAAATACCTGCTGCTTGTTCCACGGCATTACACAGCCTGGTGCGTTCTGCAGTGCCGCATGGAGTTTGACAGTGTGTTTGCCGTCCTGTAGAGGAACACACAGGCCTACTGTGTCTTAGGCTTTTTGGGATTGTTGACAGAATGATGCAGGACATGTTTGGTGAGCAAAAGCAAAGAAATACTGCACTGAATGAGGAAAGCCTTGTTGTTTAACCAGTCATTAACCAGTACAAGTGTGGTAAAATGCTGTAAAGTAAGCGTGCTTTCAAAAATAATAGATTATATTTATCAATTCACAAAATGCAAAGTGAGAGTGAACAGATGAATCAAATCAATATTTGTTGTGACCACCCTTTGCCTTAAAAACAGCATAAATTTTTCTTCTGTTCACTCACTTTGCATTTTATTAATTGATAAATAAAACTTATTAACATGTCTATTTCTGTAAGCATTCTTACTTTACAGCATTTTTTTCCCACACCTGCCAAAAACTCTTGCACAGTACTGTATCTTTCAAAGTTAATGTTTTGTTGCCTTGAGTTAGAAAGCAACTGTATAAATAAAGGTTTAGTATTGTTACTGTGCTGCATTATGAAAACCTGTGGTATTTTACATTGGGATACAAACAAAATAAACCAAAAAAAAAAAACACACACACACTGACATGTTTTCGTTTCTCCTTGTCAGCATTTGTTACACTCAAACTGTGATTTACATTTACTGTGAAAATAAATCACAGAAATCAGCAAGTACCAATTCACACTGATATCCATAAAGCAAACAGCCAAGATTTTGACTGTCTGGCTGGAATTTAATGATTTTCTCTTTTTTTTTGCCATTAATAGGATAGCTGCTTTGGTAACAAAGTTGCATCATCACAGTGTATCCCGCCAACTAACTTGACGGGTAAAAGCAAAACAAATGTTTTTAGCAGATGATACTGGTGATGGGAAGTGATGAAAGATGTCCAGTGTCAAATTTCATTGGTGTCCTGTTCTTTATCACACGCGAGCCTCAACCCCCTTCATTTTCCATGTTTCCACGAAAGCCCTTTGGTTTTATGCTAAGCACATTTCCTATTCCACCTGATCACAGCGGTACCGCCAGCACTTATTGGACATGCCTCTGCCTCGTCTTCTCATGCAGTGTTACTGTTAACATGGGTCTAGCCACGTTTTCTGACCACTTTGGACTTCAAACAAACACCATGCAATTCCTGCCTCTTGCCAGGCTCAGGCACAGAGTCGGTCTTTGTACACGGAACGGTTGGCACGCCTGACATGTTGAATTAAGCGTCACCACTTGTGCTGTAACTCGTTCTCTTTGAGAAATATCTGGATGTTCCAAGTATTTCAAATGCCACTATTGCTGAATATATTGTGAAATGTAAAAGTACGTAAGGTTTTGGCAGTGACTGTAAATGATGAATAATGCAAGTTTATTTTTGAGTCATTTTTCTGCATGTGTTCTTGTCTTTCTGTCTTTGTACTCATATCTGACTGGACATAAATGGCAGTGTAGTACTGGGGTCCGGCAAGAACTGCGAGTATTCTTTTTTATTTGTAAATTTTTGACAATGATTTGATACACTGGGAACAATAAATCTTCCACAATTTTTGCAATAACACAGTCATTATTGTTCTAAAGAATGCTTGTTTTTATTCCAACTAGGAAAAAAATGAAATTTTAACGGTAACTATAAACTAAACAGAATGAATAAAAAAAATTAGGCTTGGCTTTCATTTGAAGGGTACAAAAGGCTGCAGTTAAATAAATATTTAATGTATAGCCCCTAAAACCGCAATTCAATAAAGGTCAACAGGACTGGTTAGTCATGTCCTTGATAGCTTTAGCTGTAAATGTAAATACACAGTTTACCACAGCGGCCACTTTTACAGGGCCAGACCTGTCATTTGACACGAAAATATGGCCAATCTAGGCCACTGTAAAGATGCCAGTCTTCTACAAGCCTCAAGAGCTCTGAGCCATGAAGGAGTCCAGCGAGAGAGGCAAAGCATCAGTACATGTACACTGCAGCCTGCCAAAATACACTCATTTAACAGCACAAAAAGACTTGCACTGAGAACCCACATGTTTATCTTAGGGATGATGTAAAATGGCCAGAATTCACATTTCACATCAAATTTCTCTTTTAAGATGGCTTCTCTCAATTTTTACGTGCAAGGAAACAAACATTTGCATTTCAAAGTTCTTTAAATAAAAATAAATGAAAAGCAAACCCTTTTATGGGTTTGGAGACTATATTGGAAAACAGGTCCGGGGCGAAATGAATATTTTTTATGGTTCGTAAAAGAGCTTCACAATGAATGCCAGGTTATGTGAAAGGCTTGACACATGGTACAGGCCAGAGCCCTTCGAGGTTCCCTCTTTATTCAGCCCCTTACGCACTCGGGCCAAGAGCAGCCAAACAACACACATGGCAGAGGCCAAGATGATGATGAAGAATGATTTCTTTATTTCTGCTCGTTATCGTCTGATTAGGCTCCTTCTCACCACAGACTCATCCAAAAAGCTACTAATCAACTAACAACCTTCCCTTTTTCCTTTTGGGTTTATCACACTCTGGTTGATGTTTAATCGGCTCAGTACTCGGAGCCATTCCTCTTTGCTTGGTAGAATCGAACCGAGGATGTTTCAATTACAGTGTATGGGATGAACTATGCATTTATGTGCATACATTATGAATTAATATGAACAGATGTATGTATCTATATACTGTATGTGACAGTGGACTAACTTCAACTAGGTGACACACTGTAACTGAACTATGTTAAATGTAAATTTGTCATGAGATATGTATGTATGTATATTTCTCCAACATTAGTATGATCACTTTAATAGAGACTTCAATATACTTTGGCTATTTTTGTATAATGCACCTCAGGATACACTGTAAAACTATAAGTTCTTGTGAAAGCACCACATTCTAGCATACTAATCGCTGTTTATGTACTGGTCTTAGTTATTGTCATGTACAAGGTGCTGGCGCTGACACACTGAAATTATTTCACTACTGAGACAAAATTCATGTCTCACTTCCCTCGGCTGACTCACGTGGCGAAGGGACGCAGCAAGAGCAGAAATCATAATAAAAGGAATCTTATTACAGCCATTAAACAAGAGAAGGGAAAACACAGGAGGGCTTTAATGCCTGGACATCTAAAATGCTTACGCAGTGAGAATATATTTGGTCGTAAAGCTCTTTGATGGTGGCCCTGTCGGTTTCAACACACAGCGCTGCTGTCTGTGTAAATATCTGTGTATTGACCTCCTACCGCACAAGATTGAATGTGTTTCCATAGGTGTCATTTGGTACCATTTTGAATTTTTACAGGCCCCAGTGTGCCTTCGTCCCTGTAACCGCGGGGGCGTAGGAGTCATGCCATCACTGCTCAAACAGTGGACTCTTCCTGATGTTGTAGAGAGATGAGAGGTTGACTATGAACTGCAGCCCCCTCCTCCTCATCCTCCTCACAACAGCATTATGGAGCTCTGTTTGATGCGGAGTGATATATAATGTCTGTTGGACTGTCCATCTCAAGTTACCTAGAGTGCATGTTCCTGTCTCTGTGTGATCTGTGTTTGTGAGTGTGTGTGTGTGTTGGGTTGAGAGGGGGGGGTGGTCCTCAGTGCCAAAACCTTTGGTGAATGAGGACTCCCCACACAATAAAAGAATGGTATTGCTGACTTCCTTAGGTATGTGTGGTTTGAAACCCAACACAGGTTTGCTCAGTGGGGCTCTCTCTTATTTATTCTAAATATCAATGAAAACCCCAATTCTGTGGTGCCCTTTGAGTCAAGAAGGAGGTCCCTCTCCAACCCACGTTATAGTCATTTTTTCAGCCAAGTTAATGGCCTTTGGTGGCAGATGTTGACTGCTGTATAATAGCAAATCTACTGCACAGTTCCTCACTGTTGGTTTGAATCAGTTACAGAATATTTTATTTATGTGTGTCATGGGAATGTTGATTTTAACAAGGGACATAATCTGAGTATGAAAAAAAATATATATATATGTGTGATTTCCTGAAATCATTTACAATTAGATGCAGTCTTATTATAAGTGAATCAAGTTTAGTGATCTTCCTCATCTCAAGATTTTAACTTGTTAGAATAAAATCTTCTGAATCAAGATAAACTACCTTGTTGACAAGCAGTGCATCATAAAGTGATGATTGTACTGAATTCTCTCACACA